GTACGTAACTACTACTACTACGTACGTACGTACCGTACCGTAACGGTAACGGTAAAGTAAGTAAGTAGGTAGGTTAGTTAGTAGTTACGTAGTGTCGTACTCGTCTCTCTCTCTCTCTCTCTCTCTCTCTCTCTCTCTCTCTCTCTCTCTCTCTCACACACACACACACACACACACACACACAAAGTAGCCATACCTTAAATTGCCTAGTGCATATCCCTTTCGTGATGCTCCAATAACGGATTTCACCATCACCATCACATGAACAGATGAGATCCTCATTGTTTGGATGGAAATCAAGAGACATCACTGAAGCAATATGTCCGGTAAAAGTGCGCAGAGAATAGCTTGGCTGCATAGCATTTGAGATAACCAACACCATCATACTTCATTTATGAATGCAAGTTATACCTTGTACTGTTGAGTCTCATTCTTTTTGCATCAGTAATCATCATTTCAATGAATGATGACCCGATGAACTAACATTTGTGCATGGTCCATTGGATTATTCTATATTTATCCACTATAGAAACTTTGGTTAAAAAACTAGCCTTGTGCTTAGATAATCCAACAAAAGTAAATGAGACAAGAAGGGAGAAACTTCGCTTACATTGTCTACATCCCAGACCCTGACTGTTCTGTCGAAGGATGAGGTAGCCAACCGGTTAGTGGAGCTAAAGCGCACATCAGTAATCAACAAGGAATGCTCTTCCAAAGAACTCTTGGGTTTGAAAGTGTCCGTGTTCCACAACACAGCCTGCAATAGTCATCAAATTCAAGCACCAAACCTACTGCCATAAAGGTCAATCACTTTATTTTCATAATGGAAACCCTTGCACCCATATCCACCAACGTTTTCTTAAAACTAAACCACCAGAATATAAAACCCTTGGAAACCCCATTAAACTTACCTTCTTCTCATGCCCGGCACTTGCAAGTAGTTTTCCATCTGGTGAGAAATGGCAACAGACAACTTTGGAGGTACTTGCCGGGATAGAAGCAATCATGTTGAAGCTAATTCCTATCAAAAAGTGCTTAGAGATCAGTTAAAATAAGTCCAAACATCTAACTTTCCAAGAGAAACATATACATGAAAAAATGAAAAGCTTTTTTTTCTTTTTTTTTTAAGCAGGACACAAGGGAAGCCCTTTTTTCGTTAAGCAGGATACAATAAAAATGCAACATGTTTTAATTATAAAAAAATACATCAAATTTTATTGGGGAGTGATTTCAAGCAATGGTTGTATAGTAAGATAATGAAACAATCTTCAAAACCATATTATGGCTCTTTGTGTGACCCAAATTTTAAAATATGAACTCTTTTCATTCTAATGAACAATCACAAAAAAAGAAAAATTTGAAAACACAACCTAGAAAGTGTTTTTTAGCCCAATTAACATAGGCCATCCATTTTGGTGAGATACTTAGATCTAGGCCATAGAAGGATCTTTTTTCTTTCCAAATATTTTAGATAACTTTATTATCATTTGATTAACAACGTTAAAAAGAAAGAAATTATTTTGAATTCATAAAGGCCCAGATTCTGAAATTCACCAAATGGATGGTCTAGATTCATTGTTGGAGGCGACTCATTTTGACCATATATAGGGTCAAATTTTTATTTTTATTTTCTGAGATTGATCATTGAGATAAAGAGAGTGTGCAAAATTTTGGGTCTTACAAATACCACAAACATGCCTTTCTAGAAGTGTGGTTTTATTATATTATAATAGCATGGTGACATCATATCATTTCTCAATTTTATTTGATGGTCAACATAATGAATGAGACTGCAAATATGGAAATGTACATACCATTACTCTTGCTGGTATCTGTATTTCGTCCAACAGGATCTCTAGGATCAGCATCATCATGAGAAAGAAAGGAATCCACATTATCATCCAGAGATCCATCTCCTTCAATTCTATCGATATCTACCTGCAAATCAATGCTGCCATCACACATTGAGACCTGATGAAATTATGCAACCGGAGATACAAATTATACAACTTGGGGGGTCTGCCACATGATACTTTTGAATCAACAGAAATACAATACTATGATCCAATGGATCATGCAAAACCACCATCCATTAGGGGCCATCACCGTCCAATAAAAAGATGCATGGTGAGAAAGAGAGAGAAAGGAGCTAGAATGGAATGAGAACCCTCGCTGGCTCCTACCAAATCGGTATCACTATCCATCGTTGTGGACAGTGATGAGCCCCAAGGCACTAAGTGGATTATGGTATAATTTAGATGACTAATACAATATATTAGCAGGGAACTCACTAGATGATTAGAAGAGGAAGTAAGAGTTCCACATCCATCAGAACCAAACAAAATCAAATTCTTGGATGCAGGCATGGGGATTGCATCCCCTGATGTATGGATAGATGGTGTAGATGGTGCTGAACTTGGGGAAGGCCCTGCAGTGTTTCCTGTTCCAGAGCTATTTGCAGGACCACAAGTTGATACAGTCTGTTTTCTTTTTCTTCCACTTTGATTCTTTGAACCCATCTATTCCAATTATCGGGAAAAACAAACACAGAGAGACAAGTTTGCACTGATTACTACTCCACTAAAAGTTATATTTACAAACCTAGAGATGCCCGGGCCTTTTTCTTTGTAAGTAGCTAAGACCCAATTAATACCGCAACAAGCATTTGACATGCGACTATTGATTTTCTACTAAAGTAGAGATCTTTTTTTTTTCATTTTTGGTCGGAGAAGTACCTGATCATTCCCACGGAAAGAGTTTGACAAATTGCCATCCTCAAAACTGCCAACAATTTTTTCATATTGATGTAGAGGAGGTACTGAATTCTGAGACTGGTTACTCAATGGTGCCTGATGTTGGAGCGGTCGTTGCTGATTGTTGCTTTGCTGTTGCTGGAGCTCAAACTGAGCCATCTTTAACTAGACAAAGAATACATGATGGTGCGACAGAGACCATGTCAGATAGGTCAAAACCTAACTACCATCAACTCTAGCTGAACCACGTCATTTGACACAATAAACATGATACCAAATCATTAAACCTTCATCAGCACATCATTTTGTTGCAATTGGTATTGTTTATCAATAACTTGCATAAAAGAAACAATACGATGTAATGTGTAAAATGCATTTTGGAGAAAAATTCCTTTTTCAAATTATTCTACGTTGATATCTTTAAAAATGCATGCCCCCTCCCCCCCCCATTCTCTCTAGACCTTCTGTTTAATAATTGACTATTCATTCTTTTGAAGTTTGAACCATTTGAACCAATGCTTTTTTTATTGTCCATTCATCATCCCCAGATAAATTGTTTTGATCATTGACATCCATGCATTTGACGAGTGTTTTTTATTGCTGACAACTATTTCATCAACTTTAGAAACTTATCTTCAAATTCATAAGCACCTAGATCAGTATTTTTTCTAAAAAGCCATTGGCAGCTCCACTTATAACTGTGCACTATTTCTTATCAACATAAGACTTGCAAATTCCTACAGGCAAAACCTATACTTGTCCTATTTACATGTTTGAGAAATTGGACCATAGACATATCCTGATGCTCAAGAACCCTATGATTCCAACTACACACCTACGAGCTGCAATTCTCCAGACCTATAGAAAGTGACATACTTAGTCTTTACATGTAAGAAAATTCTTATGAACAAAGGAAGTTGTAAATTCAATTCTAAGAGGCTACATACCAAATAGACCCAAATATGAAAATTAAAGGCATGCATGTTTACAACTAAAGAGAGCACCACAACCATTAGCTTCAAGTGAAACGAAGTATATAGCAACCCACACCTTGATGAGCATATCTGCATCTCCTCTAGGTAAAACAGGTGATCCACCTTGTATCAGGGATCCAATGTTCGGCATCATGTCCCCTACAGAGTTGGATAAACCATCTTTTCCAGAAGAGCAGGTTCTAGCACTGAGAAGCATTCTTAGTTTTTGGCTATCAACTTCTGCAGCAGAAGCAGAGTTCAGGTTTGACTGGGCCTGAGCATGCAAGAGAAGTTGTTGATGTTGAGGGGTAAGCATTTGAAGTGTTTGGTATTGTTGTTGTGACTGTACAAATGACTTTTGTGCTTGCAAAAGGCTCGGCCTAAGCTGATCGAGGCCCTGTTGGAAAAACATAATAACGACATTACTGTTTTCTTTCTTCACAAGACAAAAGCATGTCATGTATTGACACAGTTGGAAATTTACCGGCAACTAATAACCGATAAAATCCACCGTATTTTAGAGAGAAATAAAAACCGAGAAAGAAATCGCAAGAAAATAGCAAACGTAAAAACCGATAAAGAAACCGTAAGAAAATAGAAAATGTGCAGATCCGAGTCCTCCGCTACGTGCCCACAATCACAAGAGAAGAAGAAAAGAATAAACCCACTAGTAAGGTTTCTCTCTCTCTCTCTCTCTCACTCTCTCTCTCTCTCTAACCTTTTACACCTACTGTAAAAGAACGTCTAAGTTTCATTTTCATCTAAAAAAAATCCCTCTTTTACAATATTACATCTCTTTCTTTTAAACTCTACCTTTCTTCCCTTTTCAAGATGAGCACGTCACCAAAAGTTACCTCAACTCTACTTTCCTAAGAAAATACTAACCACTAAAATAGGACTCAACCTTCCTAACTCATATAAAAAAAAGGAACTCTATCAATTAAACAAAAAAACCCATACTAATCCTATTTCTAAAAATTAACCCCAATAAAAAAATAAAAAATCTATCCACATCTCTAAAAATAAAATTAGTAAAAATGAAATTAAATTTTTGTAGCAACCAAATCTTGATCTGCTTCATTCTCCCCTGGTTGAATAAAACTCATTGTTGAGTTTTAAAATGTGCTAAGATCTGGTTGAAGAAAACTCATCCTCGAGTAAAATGCACTTAGATGAAATGCGTATTAGTCATGCATCCTTCTTCAACCCGAATATTGCAAACACGATCCTAAGACCTATGGTTTATTGCTCTAATCAAAACATAAACGACTTCGTATTGAACAGGATAAGCCCTCGAGAAAAAGGTTGTTGTATGTCGATAGAGTCTAGTCAGCCACATTAACTTGCAGAAATTGTTCAAACTTTAACTTTAGGGCACACGTATGCATCTTTAAGATGAGCAATGAATTCAATGGTTGAAATAATTTCACCTATTGATTCTCCTTTGAGGCCTTCCTCTTTTTTTCCATCAAGAGTCTCCATAGGCTCGATCTCCTCTGGATTTAGGTCAATATCTTGCTTCTCCATCTCTCCATTGATGAGAAAGTTAGATATTCTTACTGCCTTAAGGCTAATTTCCTTCTTTTCATCTTGCTCTTCATCAAATATAGGACTTTCATCAAAAATAGGGTCACACGTGACATCAAGGAATGATGATTCCAATTGACGATCCAAACTGATTTGTTCTTCACCTTCAACTGGTTCTTCGTCAAACTTAGTAGATCAACTTTAATGTTGAAATCACACGATGTACATTCCCAAACATTAGGCTCTCAATGCAAAGCATGTGCATAGATCGGGTTCTCGAAAGTAGCTTTCGACTCACTATCGTCATCAGTGTGTTGGGGCTAGATTTTGCGCCAAGCTCTAGGTCAACTCCTCTACTTGCCTTCTCAATTTGTTTATCTCTATATATCAAAGGTCCCTCTCTCGTTGGATTGGCTCATTCCCGACACCCAGCCATAGGCCATGTCCACGAGCCATAATGCTTATTGACGAACACTAAGATCCACAAGAATCGACTGATGCTCTGATACCACTTAACGCTATTGGAAATTTATCGACAACCAATAACCGGCAAAATCCACCAGGTTTTAGAGAAAAATAAAAACCGAGAAGGATAGCAAACGTGTGGATCCGAGTCCTCTGCTACGTACCCACAAGCACAAGAGAAGAAAAGAATAAACCCACAAGGTCTCTCTCTCTCTCTC